CACAAAGCGAGGGGAACTAGCAACTTAACGCTCACTGTCTCGGAGTCCTCTCCGCAAACGATATCTATACCCTCTTAAGCAATGTCCTTGCCTTATAAAGCACATGTTGTAGCATACAGGAAAGTCCCTCATGTCCAATAGAATTCCTGTAAATCCAACGTATCTTTTTGCTTTATAAAGCACATGTTGTAGCATACAGGAAATACCCAATGTCCAATAGAATTCCTGTAAATAAAACGTGTCTTTTTACTCAGTACAATTGTAATTTCACTTTCGATGCCAAGTTATTAATTTCCAATACTTTCAAAAATTTCTAAAGCCTATCAGAATACACAATGTAAATAATTGTATTGGAGATCTTTCTTTGTGGAGCTTTTCCTTGGAGAACTGGAGTTATACTGAAATTACTGATGAATGAAACCAAAATATTTCATTGCAGACAATGTTTACATTGAAAAGTATAACACTTGGTGCAGAAAATGCTCACAACAAGTTAGCAGCTATAAATGAAAGCACACAGGAATATTTGGAAGCATAACTGGATGAGGAAACATTCGGAAAGAGATATCTTCTGCAATGGGAATGAGCACAGGATATGTAATCTTCAAAAGTTGATTACTGAAATAAGGCAGAGTTCATCAGATACATTTTTTTACAGAAACAGTGACTTTGTGGAGGTCATTACAGAAATGTGGTTATACTTAAATTACTGATGAATAAAACCAAAATACTTCATTGTAGGCACTGTTTACTCTGAGAAAAACATGGTGCAGAAAATGTTCAAGTTAGCAGCTACGGGAAAAGCACACAGGAATATTTAGAAGCAGAAGTGGATGACAAAACATTTGGAAATGAGATCAATTTAATTTTCTGCAATGGCAGTGCAGCACTGGAGATGCTCTCTTCAAACATTGATTACTGAATTATGGTACAGTTATCAGACACATTTTTCTACAGAAGCAGTGACTTTGTGGAGGTCTTTCTTGGAGAAATGGAGTTATACTGGAATTACAGAAGAATGAAACCAAAATACTTCACTGCAGGCATTGTTTTACATTGTGAAGTATAACACGTGGTGAAGAAAATGTTCACATGTTAGCAGCTATGGAGAAAGCACACAGGAATATTTAGAAGCAGAAGTGGATGTGGAAACATTCGGAAAAGAGATCAATTTAATTTTCAGCAATCGCGTGCAGCACTGGAGATGCTCTCTTCAAACATTGATTACTGAATTATGGTACAGTTATCAGACACATTTTTCTACAGAAGCAGTGACTTTGTGGAGGTCTTCCTTGGAGAAATGGAGTTATACTGGAATTACAGAAGAATGAAACCAAAATACTTCACTGCAGGCATTGTTTTACATTGTGAAGTATAACACGTAGTGCAGAAAATGTTCAAATGTTAGCAGCTATGGAGAAAGCACACAGGAATATTTAGAAGCAGAAGTGGACGTGGAAACATTCGGAAACGAGATCAGTTTAATTTTCAGCAATCGCACTGCAGCACAGGAGATGCTATCTTCAAAAATTGATTACTGAATTAGGGCAGAGTTCATCAGACATATATTTATTTCTTGTATTCAAATTAAGTATATGTAGATGTACATCACTTAATGGCTATCACTGTTTACAAGCAGGTGTATACAGTATGGTGGAGAAAATGTTCACAAAAAGTTAGCAGCTGCACAGAAAATATACAGGAATGTTTAGAGAACAAGCATATCAGGCCACATGAGTACTAGAACAAATTCAGAAAAGAAAAGATTTTCATTTTCTGCAACGGTAGGGCAAAAGAAACGATGCTATCTTTAATAATTAGTGGCAGTGCAGCACAGGAGACTATCTTCAAAAAATGACTGCTGAATTATGGCAGAGTTTATCAGACTTGTTTTGCTTTCTACAGAGGCAGTGACTTTATGGAGGTTTTCTTTACAGACATGTGGTTATTCAGAAGTTACTGATGATGATTGAAACCGAAAAACATCATTACAGGTATTGTTTACATAGCGAAGTATAACATGTGGCGCAGAAAATGTTCACAAGTTAGCAGCTATGGATCAAAGCACACAAGAATACTTAGAAACAGAAGTGGATTCGGAAACGAGATGACTTTAATTTGCTGCAATAGCAGTGCAGCACAGAAGATGTAATCTTCAAAAATTGATTACTGAATTGTCAGAATTCATCAGGCTTATTTTTCTACAGAAGCAGTGACTTTGTGGAGGTTTTCCTTGGAGAAATGGACTTATATTGGAGTTACACATGATTCAAACCAAAATACTTCTTTACCGCAATTATTTAAGTTCAGAGGTATAACATGTTGTGCAGAAAATATTCTCAACAAGTTATCAGCTATGGATCAAAGCACACAAGAATACTTAGAAACAGAAGTGCATGAGGAAACATTCAGAAAAGAGATGACTTTAATTTTTTCCAATGTTAGTGCAGCACAGGTGATGCTATTTTAAAAAATTATTTATTGAATTATGACAGAGGTCATCAAACTTATTTTCTTTTTCACAGAAACTGTGACTTTATGGAAGTCTTCTTTGCATAAATGTAGTTTTACCAAAGTTACTGATGATTAAAACCAAAATATATGATTGCACGCATTATTTACACTGCAAAATATAACATGTGGTGCAGAAAATGTTCACAACAAGTTAGCAGCTATAAATGAAAGCACACAGGAATATTTAGAATGAGAAGTGGATGATGAAACATTCAGAAAAGAGATGCAATGGCAGTGCAGCACAGGAGATTCTAGCTTCAAGTATTGATTACAGAATTATGGCAGAATTGATCAGACGTATCTATTACTGAAAGCAGAGACTTTTTGAACATATTTTTTTAGAGAAATGGGGTAATATTCTAATTAGGTATGGATTTAATCATAATGCTTTGTTGCAGGCATAGTTTTTATTCAGACGTAGAAAATGTTACGGTGTGCTGGCTTGGCTTGTTACTGATTACAAATCAAAAATAATTTTTGGTTTCCTGATTCTTTTCTCTCCTGCATTCTTTCTAGGAGATGAAATAATTTTATCTGCTTCTGAAATTTCAATTTCTCTTTTTTCTTGTGTTTGTTTTACAGAAGCAGTGGCCTGTTTTTGTTTCTCATTCTGTGCTCTAGCATCAACAATATACTTCGGTTCTCTAAGAGACATTTTTCTTGGTGCTCTTGGATCAACAAGCTCAGGAAGAATACAATTCACGTAAAATTTTTCGAGTTTTGGAACTAAACTGATCCAGAAAGTTTTGTCTTCGGGTATTCTTAATGTGATTGCATCTTCTCTGCACCATATATATAAATCACACCAATTCCTCTCTGTTATGGCTAACTGCCCTTGAATTTGAAAATAATATTTGTGGCTTTTCGGTAAATAAAGATTATTATCAGCATCCATCCGAAGACCAACAGAATTAGGCTTGCTGAAAAAGTCTGACAAGTCTGCTGAGAATCTGGCTGTATAAGGACATTTTATTTCAAGTAATCCATCTTCGTCTATCAATCCATCTGGCGAAGTACAAAGAAAGGGATATTTAGGATCAATAAAAAGGCCACAACGTCTGATGTTTTTTCCCATGTGCTTTTCCTTGTATTGATTTAAGGCTACTGCTTCGTTAGCCAAGCCATACTTTAATGCTTTAGTTGAAACGTTATCATTATATATGATACGTTTCACTAAAGCAGCACTGAGTGTTGTTGGACGCCTATCAGCAACATCTTTGAAAAAGGATGATGATATTCTTCTTGATCTTTCATGACGCCATCTTTCAGATGATGACTGTCCACGTGTTACGGCCTCAAGAGAATCTTTTTTTGGAACTTCAATTGATATAAAAAAATTTTTAGCTGCCAATTCATATGCTTCATCTGATAGGTCTGGTTTCTCAGGAAAATCACCATAAGAAATATCCCCACCTTGCTGAATATGTCCTGCTTTCCTCATATTTCTCTTTTTCTTCTCAGTGTCAAAAAGTCTACGTCTCTCAAGACGTTTTACATGGCGCTTATTTCTGGAAGCTAAGAATTTCAAAGTTGGAGTCCTGGGGCTACTTCCTGTTACAGCTTTTTGTGCATTTTTTTGCCACTGCTGTGCTGGATTTTGATAGGCCATGACAGCAATACTCGCACGCCTGTTCATGCCACCAGCTTTGGAAAAATCAACTCTTTTTCCACCAGATGTTTTACACAGTTGACTCATGAAGCTTTCAGCAGGATTATTTGTGGCATTCCAAATAAGAGTACTGCTACACGATATCAGTACTCTTCCCACTTCTGCTTCAATAGCTTGCAACATACCCGAGGAAAAAATTTCATTGTATGTGCTGTCCAACTCTGCACCTTTCTTTGCACAAAAAGCACTACAAGCATCATGCTTGCCAAATATATGATGTGGCCCATTTCTCAAGTCAGATACTAATGCATCAATAGCTTCTTGTGTGTGCTGATAATGGCTAGGTAAAGCATGAGCTTTTATAGCTACTCTAGCACCTCTGACTAACAGTGGCATTTTAATTTTCAGCAATTTACGGGCAGCAATTCCTTTAGCCCCGGGGAAGCGCGCAGTATTTTGCTGAAGTTTCTCAAGAGCTCTGCGATATCTTCGAACAGCATGGTTAGCACATTCTACTTTGATCACCCGTCCTCCATATGAAACGCTTTCTTTCACTTTGGCCATTGTGTTAGCATCTCCATCTCCAACAAGTCGAGTACAACGTATTTTGTGAACACACTGGAGATAATTCAGACCTTCCACAATGGCACTGCTTTCCATACCTGTAGAAGGCCCATTCCAATTTCGCCAACAAAGGTGCACTTTATTTGGCATCTTGCCATCTTCAATAGCACTGCATATAAGGCACACTTTGTTGCGAATTCCAACAAACAAAATTTTCTGGGTGACCATGCCTATAATAACAGATATGCCACTTGAAGCATTGTAACCATGCCCATAGCTTCTTTTACACACCAACCTCCATCAACAATGACAGTTATACAGTGATAACCATCATTATCTTTATCATTGCGAAGTTCTGCCTGCCTTTTTTCTCCTCTTCTATAGCAGCACACATAGTTTCCTGTGCACATCCCTGTATTATTTTGCCAGTAGTTCGCTCACAAGAAGCAAAGGTCGAGTTGCTCATATACGGAATTTCCATGATGCTAAACTTTTCCTCCTCTTGTGAAAATCCACTGCCAGTAGATAACGCACCTAATACTGCAAGCTGATTTAGGCTGCTTTTCTCCATATCAGAACAAATTGTTGCCATTTCCCCACATAAAATTTTATCACATACATAGTTATATGTAGTGACAAGACCACGTCGAATCACTTTGTTAAAAATAAATGATCCTCCAAATTTACAATTTAGGGAATGTTGCTCTAATGTCCTAGCCTGCACTATTACAAAAGACATATTGCAAATTGTTCTGCCAGATGGTAATGGATTTGCCTTTCGTCGATCTTCCCTTTCGATAATTAAAGGTGAATCAGGACACAGAAATTCATCATTAAGGTTCTCCTGAAGAGGCTCAGACTCCAAGCTAAAATATATATATATACAATATATATACATATATATAATTAATATATATAAATATTACAAATTAGGTTTAAATTTGGCTTATTTGATGACAGCAAAGCACTTGATCTTCCTAAGAGGAGGAATGCTTTCATGGAGGACTTTCTAAGGGAAATGGCTCATATACACGGGGAAAACCATGAAAACGCCCATGCAGGCAGCCCATTCGCAATTAGGTTTAGGAAATTTAGGCAACAGATAGCAAATAAATTAACAATAATAATACACTGGATTACCAGTATATTACTACAAGAAGATGAGTCATCTTCACAACTGCTGCTTCCATGCTCGCAGTGTCATTTGCTCGTGCAATATTAGTCACTACTTTGTGTGCCGGAGGTTTCACATGAAGGGCCTCTACACCTGAGTATAAAATGTTCGTGTTCCAGTAAACACTGAATTCAGAGGGGCAAGAATAACTCTTTCATGGTGGATAACTCAGTTACCAAATGGCTTTCTAAGGCTCTATTCAAGCCGTTGTATAAATGTCATAATTCCCAACTAACAACGCTTTGTAGTCAGACCTTGCTATGTCACAAAAACTAGTTTGGGCATTAAGCTTGAAGTTTTCAACTTTGTGCCGACTTGATATAAGAGTCGGCCAATCAGAGCATATACATAAAACCTATTGAGAGAGAAAGCTGTAGACACATACATGCATGCACAAATTTAGCTTCTCTAATTGGCTATGGCTTAGACCCTCTCTCGCAGGTGTGAATGGAACTCCCACATTTTGTGCCTTATGATTATGCGTCTATGACATTTATACCATCATGTGAACGGAGCCTTAGGATGGCATACTAAGAAGATGCACTGTCTTGTGGGGATAAGCAATTTATACTCCTAAGCCTAAAAAAAAAACTTGGAAAAAAAAAGATCACGACTTAAATTTGTTGTCTAATTGCTCTAATTTGAGGCACATTATGAGAGGAAAGCAAAGGTAGTAATCAGAATTATTTAAAAAATTTTATCCTTATATTTTTCTTAAAAATTCTGTAAAATAATAAAATTTGTGGTTTTCCTCAAATAAATATATATGGAAAAAATAACAGCCACATAATCACAGATTTCATTTGTTATATTTTATTAACAAAATTTAAATTATTAAAAATCTCTTTCATGAAGGGAACATAAAACATCATGAAAACAATGAAAAAGAAGCAATATTTAAAAAAGATAGTAGGCTTATTGATGAGGCTCCCATCAAAAGAATCAAACCCCAAAATATTTTCATTTGCTTCAGTGTCCCGACTGAAAATTTCACTGATTTCAATGAATATATTTTTAAAAAAAATCTTTTATTTTCAAGTTCTTTCATGCAAAACGTCCAAATTTGGTACAAATCAAATTCATCCCCTCTTTTTTGATAGCTACAATATTATATTTAACAGTTTTAATAGCTATCAGTATGTAAACAACATAATGTAACACCATAAAAGAAAAACATAAATGATGACATTTTAATTTTGGCATAGAGAAATACATATTTACCCCAAAAGAGAGCTTGTATTTCTACCTTCTACGTCAGAGTCAATAACTGAAATGTCCAGATCAGAACTGAGAAGAAAAGAACCATAATTAGTTTAATTAAGATACAATAACACACCGACCAAGTATTAATTTGAGAGTCAAGCAACAAAAATCAGCATCATATTTTGAAATATTCACTATTTGAAAATATAACGCTGATTTTGGTTGCTTGACTTCTAAATTAATACATAATTAGTTAACCATAATTAAGTAACTGTAATATCATGCACAGCTAATATCTATTTTAAAAATAAACCAACTTACCTCAGGAAAGCCTGGTTTGTCTTAGGAACATTAGCTGTAACTTCTGGCGTAGAAAAGTCAAATTTTTCACTTCCGGACCTAAGAATGAAAGAAATAAACTGCTATAACATAATTAAAAAAAAAAAAAAAAAAAAAAACATGAATAAATAAATAACACATAACAAATTTAAGCATTAAGCTATGTATGACTACCACCCATCTCAGACAGTGCGACAGATATTGCTGTATACTGTTTCGCCATACCCTGTGTAGCTATTATATCATGCTGTATAACCACAGTTTAGAAAAATTACAAAATGTGTTATTTATATCTATCTAAAATGGTACATTACTACATGATTTGTAAGAATAAATTAGAGGGCTCTGCGAATGAAATTCCTTCCAATTAAAAAATGTAGGAATAAAGAAAATGCAGGAATTGCAAATGCAGAAATGAAAAAGGGGATTATATTTTTTGTACAGAATCCAGATGACATATTTTTTCAACATTTTAGAAATTTCAATATTAATTTTAGGGGCATAAAATATTAGGCCCCTAAAAGCAGAATATAGTTTTTAAATGTTCAGATAATCTTCCTATGAGAAGAATTCCTTTGAGAAGTACACATCTGAACCACAATTAAAAAACATGTACAAGAACAGAGCTGAGGACTTCTGTTTGCAGAAAGTCTGTCACATAACATATGAAAAGTTTCTTATTGGTAGATTTTTGATCAGACGGATATTTTAATGTTATACAGAGAAAGCATTCACTCCCTTTATACTGGAGATAATTCAATTTGGACAATGGCAAAAAGGCTAAGCAAGCCTGAGCGTATTGGTCCCATTCTTGGCACTAGTTTGGTTTACGCTCAAAATACACAGCAGATATTTTCTAATTACCTGCATCCCAATATCAATTCAATTCAGCTTTTGGTGGAATTTAACATTTGTGACATATTTTTCAAAAACTACACTTCACAACATGCATACATGACAAATACACAGAACCATAAATAAACAAGCAATAATATATATTTATATATAAATTTTACTAAATGATCATAAAATGTTCCAACGCTAAAAGAAAGTTTTAACATCCAAGTAAATGACATAATAAAAAAAAGCAAGTTGAACAGCGAGCACATGAATAAATGTGCATACACCTGTTAAAATATACCATAGGTAACTGACAAAGCATTTCGTAGCAAACATATGACTATAAAATTTCCAATAATACATGTAATGATGGTGAATTCAATTTAGATCGCAAGAACATGCTCATACTTTTGAAAAGATTCAATTATTTCAGCAATTCCTTGTGAATTGGAATTTACCCTTTCAATATTTCCCAACAATTTAGTGTGAATGGAGGAATAAATTCTTATAACAGAATTGAACAATTATTAGCATCCCCTCATACACACACATACAAAAAAAAAAAAAAAAAAAAAAAAAAAAACTTACTTTGTAAAAAAATCATCCGGGCAATGATTCTCCTTTGACACAGATGCAGTTGTATCAATAATTTCTGACCTTCAATAAAAAAAATACGCATATTTTACTTCGGAATTAACTTACTACGAAATCATAAACACGGGGTAGTCGATATAAAGAATAAATTATTTCTCACCTTTCGAAAACATCCGCTTGTTCGGAATCTTCCACATCTCGGGAATTTAATTTCATATTTTTTTCTTGAGCTCGACGTTTACGCTGAATTCTGGATCTTTTATTAAAACCAGGATGTTTTTTCGGTCGTCCTTGATATTTTCGCATATTTTTTGCAAACTGACCACAGTACAAATAAATGTAAACAAAACGAGTGCGGAATAGCAATGCAATAGGGTTGCCGTAAACGTCATTCTGCTGACAGCTGACAATGTTTAGTGAAAACTGTGTATAAAGGAATATATGAAACGCTTCTAAATATTATTTAGAAAAAAATATGATTTATAACTGATATCAAAATCAATTACTTCGTGAATTTTTGCAGAAATAAGATTACAATGTTAAATTTTAACTCGTAGCGCCATCTATTGATGGCTTTCCAAACTACACATTAAAATTACGTATTTCAAACTAATTTTTTTAAAATATAATATTTAAGTAAATTTCATTTCAAACCTGATTCTAACATTGTGATTCGAAAACTGACCTATTGCTTTATATTTCTGCCAAATTGCACGCAACATAGTTTCTTAATTAGCGATTCTGCGTGTAAAAAAATTTTTAGTATTGTAATGCTGCTGTAGTAGACCACCTTAATTCATTAATTATAATAACCTTACCCATCCATATTCACTAAGATACTGATTCTGGATCTTGTTAATGCATTTAATCAAGGATGTTTTGCTGACAATTATATAAAACATCGGTTGATTGCATATAATCTATTAAACTTGAAACATTTGTACACAGCTTATAAAAAAAAAAAAAAAAAAAGATAATCTGAAAAAATATACTCAATTATTAACTTTTCAATCAATATCCAATAGGGTAATTATTATTTTTGTTAATTATCTGCCACTGAATGCAAAATTAGACTTCCGTGCACAAGGCAGTGGAGAGTGACCAGATTTGCTTTCACTTAAGGTATCAAGGTATCATTTAAGTGAAAACAAAAGTGCTGATTAATTGGTATAGATAGGTTATCTAAAAGAGGTATTTGAATTTAAAAAAATATAGAAACACTGCTCTTTCTTATTTTTTTTCATGCATTATTATGCAAATATTAAATTCCTTGCTATATTTTCCATTATGAAGCAATACAATATAAGCATACATAATGTAATAATAATTACTTTGCCTCAAGGACACTACAGACCAACTCATATCATCCTGATCGCTGCGCTAGCAACATTTTGGTCATTTACGTTTTCAATCATGTTTTTTTAATTACTCATTTTTCATTTTTAAGGTTATCCCATTCGGTTTGAACAAATGCAATTTTGATTAAAGATTCCTCTTGGAAGCGTAGTGCAAAAACTGTTTAAAGTAAATTTATTGGTTTTCTAGAAAAACTGTGTAAGCTGCTCCAACTTGGTCTGAGCATTTAGACCCATCCATAAAAATTTCTAAACCTTTCTCTGCTAATTGCTGTTTTTCCATACTAGGTCTTGCACCTGCCTGGGGTGTGCTGTGGTGGTGAAGTGATGGGGCTCTAAGGACTGCCCTTTGAAGAATAATGTATGTGAAGTGTTCCTGGTAATGGATCAGTATGAAAATCTTACTTTCAGCTTCTGCCCTTAGGTCAAGAGGAAGGACTGTGCAGAGAATCTGCAGAGCCACTGTAGATGTTGTTGAAAATGCCTTCGTGATCTTTTCAAGAGAGCTATCTACTGAATCTGGAGGAGCAGTAGTGTGACTCTGGTTGTACCTGTCATCCAAATGAGACAGCCATACTGAATGATCTGCTCAATCCTTCTTAAGAAGAGCTCCTTCATGAGTTTATCTTTTAAATTCCATCTATTACCTACTATTCTGTTGAAATTTTTAATGAGCTTGTTAGTCTTGTCTCTAGTTTCCATAAAGGGACGGAACCATGTTAACTTTTTATCTAACAGGAAGCACAGATATTTGAGCGTGTCTTGTTTCTTTAAGGAGATTCTCTGTCATTTTATTTTTCTGGGCTTATTGACCAACTTGTTTCCTTTTGGAAAAACTATTATCTTGATTTTTATTTGTACTAACTTTAAGTTGAACTGGGTACTCCATGTGATGATCAAGTTGAGGACTCTATCATCCACATATGCTTGTAGATGGGCATTGTCTTTAAAGTCAATGTTTGAGGCAGTGTTGGCAATGATGTTGATTTTTTCTTTTATGTCTCATTTTGTCACGCACTTGCTCAGTTTAGAAGTTTAGTATATAAAGCATGTAGATTTTATGTCAAAAGGCATAGTTTAAAATAAGAAGTAAAATCATAATCAGCATGATTCATTATAGAAGACTGGCTGTTGCCACCACTGCTGTTTGCCTACATCCTCTATGCACCTTGCTACTATCACACCAGACAAGCTAATATTTGATATGACTTGAGCCTGTGATGGACAAAGCACATCAACTGCACTCTGAAGACATTCTTTTACAAAGTCTTCACCAGGAAAAGTTTTCCACGCTTAGCAACTTTTTCTGCTATCATGTAATTAACACAAACACTATTTTCAGATTCTTTATTCGCTGTGGTGATAAAAAAGACTGCTGAGCATTTAGTTTTTATTTTTAATTCACTCACTTTATAACTTCGAAAATGACCTTCCAATGCAAAATATTTCTCACTGTGCTTAGTATCATAATGTCTCTTAAAGTTATATTCCTTCATCACAGCTACACTGTCACTGCAAATAAGGCAAACTGCCTTACCCTTATGTACAACAAAAACAATTAAGATCTGACCACTTTTCTTGAAAAAATGGTACTTTTCCTTCAACTTTTCGTTTTTTGTTATCACGGCTTGCTATTATGTACTCATTCAAAGACCATAAAAGCTTCTGAATTTCAGAATGTGGAATAAGCGTGAGAATGTGGTATAAGCGAGATATAAATTAGATTACTTAGAACATGTTGGAACTTAAGTGTATAGTATCATTTAAAGTTAACATGTTATCTAAAAGTAGTAGTATGATCAGTAGCATGAGTTAAGATGCAAATGCGTCATTTAAGTGAAGGGCACAAATAGCAGTTAATTGACAGACTTGATGGAGGGCAGAGACAAATGAAAATGACCCAAGATCTAATTATTCCCATCAACATCAACATTATATCCCTAAGTATCACATCAAGAACATTGAAATAATTTTTTAAGTAATGAATCAGTTAATATGCAGCCTGGTCAAGGATTATTAAGAACAATTACTGCATCTGAAGACTGTTTTCTATCATTGTCAGCTCAAAGAAAATATAAAGTGACCATAACAGAGAACTTACAAGAACTTACAAGAAAGCTAGAACATTTCGTGCTGCAAAAGAAACTTGGATTAGCCATTCTGCTCCACAAAGGCTTCATGATGTTGACTATTACGCAAAAACAAATTAACGGTTTGTTCTATACACTTCATCTTCCCGAGAAGCCTGTTAAATACAATGTCATCGGCATGTATGATGGAGCCAAGATTGATTGGACAGTGTACTGTGTCTGATAACTTCCCATATTCATTCATTAGCTTCAGCTGTGGATCCAGATATGTTTTGATCCGAAGGGAGTGAAGAACACACAACTTGGCTTCAATTGCTCATAAAAGACCTATTTCCATGGAAGTAGCTTCAGGGTTAGGGGCAGAATCATCAAAAATTGCCACATTGAGTGACATAATTCTCATGAAGGATCTGTGACCAGTCACAGACATATGAATTACATGCAACACTGTTTAGAAATGCTATCAGGCCAGAATTTTTTGCTAAGGGATCACGGTGCTTGTTTGCTCCATCAGAATACTTTAAAAAAGAAGATATTGCTCAAAGAACTGGCTATCTTATTCACCACACTTGAACTCAATTTAACATATGGGGGGTGCCTCACGCTACCAAACTACAGTGTAGAAAATGCCTATCTGGCCCTTCAAGATCTGAAAGATACATTTTCAGATGAGTGACATGAAATTATGCAAGATTTGATCAGCAGCTTGATACATTACAAGAAATAAAAATATCAGAGATGGTCATACACCATATTACAGAAAGATTTGTTATAAAACAGGATAGATAACTTTTTCATCATTTATTACTTTTCATCAATTTGACTTAAAATTCAGTTAGATTAATTAAATTAGATTAATCAACTGGTAAGCATGGTAATTTATGTTAGATAATGCTTTTGTACAAATTGTTTGAATCACTTTTCTATAAGTAAACAGTTTATTTTTGCCAATACAGTTTAATTCTGATGAGCACTGTAGTTGTTTTATATAGAGAAATGACACAATTACTCTGGAATTATAATGACTTTTTTATATATATTAAATACACTATCTGGCCATTCGTCACTGGAAAACCCTAATTAGTACGTTAATCCCATTTCAGCAGTCCATCAGTATCGTGTAGGGCCACCTTTCGCCGCAATTACATCCCTGATTACTTTTTCTAATACCTTAATTTAAGAAACCAATAAAAGAAATATTAATGAACCATTCCCTCCTCCCCCAAAAAAGAAAGATTATTTATCAAAGGAAATAACAAAAATGTTGCAACTTATTGACATCTCATTTGCTCTCACATTTCTAACATATTCACTACATTAAAAGATCAACATTAATAAATTAAATTGAAATTTTTGTCTGTATTAAATTAGTTAGATGTTAATATTCAACCCCTACCAAATTATAATTCTTTTCTTTTTAAAGGGAAGATACCAACTTCATGAAAAACATGGATTTATTGAGCAGCCAAAGCATTACAAAATCAGCTATTGCTTTGAATCCCACAAATGAAAACAAATTAAAATTTTTTATCTTTTAACCCAAATGTAGACAGCTGCTCTAAGAGAGGAAGAAGATTCTTAGATGAAAATAATGCAATAACAAAAGCAATAAACATTTATAATCATTAAAAAAAATCATCATTATTACAAATTAATTACAAGTAAATATATGTATAATTATGAAAACAATTAAAAGCCTTTTGCAGCCAAACAAAAATCATCAGCCAATTCACATTTAGAAAACCATGGTGTAAGATGTAACTTCATATAACTTATCCTTTTAAATAATGTGTTATTAAAGAAATTTTGATAATTAAAGTCAGCTGATTATATTTTGGACAAAGAATTCTAAGACATATTCTATAATAATCATCATATGTATGAAAATAATAAGAAAGAATGCAACTAAAAAAAAAAAAAAAAAAAGGAAAAAAGTCCACAGCTAATATGCAAAACATAGTGTTAGAAACACCTTTTATAAAATACAATAAAATAGCAAATGCTCCTAAAATTATCAATTGGATAAACTTTACATTAAACTCATTTTCATTTATATCAACCAGAAGTATTATTAAAATCAATAAATTAAAAAAACAGTTAAGTTTACTAAAAAGCACATATGTTGTTCTTAAATCATTCATATTATCAAGCAGTTATAAGCAAATTAAGTTTGAAACATAGAATGGAAATTCCATAATGGAAAAAAGTATACCTTCAAAAATTTCGTGAATATGCTCCCCCCCCCCCAAAAAAAAGGAGGAGTCATCTTTTTCATGCAGACTGGAAGATGCAGATCATTTTTGACATAAAAGGTTGACAATGAAAAACTGATTTAAAATAAAAATGTAACAAAGCAAGATATATTTTCAACATCAATAATAACAATCAGATAAAATTGCATACTACAGTCAAAAGTCATTAATCCGGACTCATTGGGACTTCAGCGATTCCGGATTATCAGTTTTTTTTCGGATTATAGATCTCATTTAAATCTGGTAAGATGGCATGCAACTTATAATTAAAAATATGAAACGTAATTTATGAAATAAAGAGCATCATGAACTAAAGCGTATCAAAATTTACAAAAAAAATGCTTCATATTTTTTGTTTACTTTTTAAGAGTTCTTTCAACGCGTGCAGCATAAGCATACATTACGCATAATCGAAATTAGAAAATTGCAGCCAAAAAACTATTTGATGTGTATTCGTGATATTTATAATGATGAGAAATTTGATTTAAATCATATCAAAGAGTACATCAAGATGAAATACTACATATAGTAAGGAATTATAAGCCAAATAAAATAAAAAAATCTCCCCTGAAGATAAGGATAGTGCTGACAGATCAACTTCCAGTTCATTGCGTGCTGCTATGTCATTGCGTCCCCCCCCCTCGCAGAGCAGCATGAAATTGATAAACAGATTTCGGAATGGTTGAGAAACAGGATTGCCTTATCCATTTTTTTGCAGCAATCCACTTTTTGTTTGATGACATCGAAACATGCTTTCACTTTGTAGATCCTTTGGCAGCTCCAAACGGAAATTCTTTTGACATAATCGAAAGTTCAAGCTTACTTTTATAAAATTGCTCTAACGCTGCAAAAAATAATAAGCCAGATCCATTAGAAGATGAAGGAACAACGCAATCTGCAACATTAACTGAAATAGATAATTATTAAAGCTTAGCTTATACCGCCCGTTATACATTAAACGCACATGCGTAAACATATTATGCGCATGCGTAAAGGTATTACACGCAAGCAAAATGCATATGCGCATGCGTAAATGCATTACGCATGCACAGAAAGTTTGTAGCTTTGAAGTCCGGATTATGGAGGTCCAGATTAAAGACTTTTTGACTGTATTTTTCTGAAAATTAATCCTTGACCATCATAATCAGAACAATGTTACATTTTTGCTGCAGTGCATTCTTCCAGTCTGCTGAGATGAACTAAATGTATATTTGAATTTTTATACAAAAAATTAAGTTGAAAAGCAAATAAACCTTAACTTTCAGTTTTTCATGCTATACAATCCTGATATCACATAGATGTGTATTTAGAAATTCTCAGAAACTCATTTTAGAGAAATTTTTCATTGTAAAAGTTTAATGAAAAAATTTCAACCATAATTATTTTTTGCAGTTACAATGTAAAAGTTATAAAGTTACAAAATGTATACAAAATAAAACTTTAACAACAATGACTTTCATTAATTTTCACTAATTCAAAAGATAAATGCAAAAATTATGGCATTTGAAATCGCTGGCAGATAATAATGGCAGATTTTAAATAAACAATTCAAGTATTCAGTTTTAAGGGAAGAAAAGTATTTATCTATATTTTTTTTATGTCTACGAAATATAAGAAATATGTTAAATGTTTGAAAAGATTTTTTGCTTTATTTTGTAGTCATCAAAAATAATTCAAATTCTAATTCATTACTAGAAATTGGATATTTTCAATATTACAGTACAAAATCCGTAATTCAAACTCGTCGGGACTTCGGCGATTCCGGATTAGGGGTTTTCCCGGATTATAGATCATCAATTTAAATCTGGTAAGATGGCATGCAGCATTATACATTAAAAATATTAAACGTATTTGAATAAAGAGCAGTTATGATCTAAAGAGTATCAAAATTTACCAAAAAAAAAAAAAAAAGGAAGGCTTTTATTTATTTGTTTACTTTAGTAACTTTTCTATCAATGTAAGTTGTTTAAGCTGCTTCGTTTTTGTGCTAATACTTTCTCTTTAAATTCTATAAACCGACATAATTTCTTGTTCATTACAAAGTTCCACTGTTCAAGTCTGTAATTGCTGTGTTGAATACTGACTAACTGTCAATCGAAATTTTTTCGTTTTCAATAACGTTCTCTGTCACTTTCTTCACTATCAGAAGCGCGCATGGGTAAACGCTTTACTGGCTTTACGCGCGCATCAAACGCTCATGCATAAACGCATTACATGCATGCGCAAGTTTGTGGCTTTGAGGTTCGGATTACAGATCATTCCAGATTAGAGACTTTGTACTGTATTAATAAAGTTTATTATCTAGATGTATATTTTCAAAATATTTTTAATAGTATTTTATCACTTCCGACACTAAATTACCTGGAATTTTATCATCTATTTTCATAAAAATACCACTTTTACCAATTTTTTGTTCAGAATTGGCAGGCTTCAGGAAACTGTATTTTGGAGAAAATAATTTCTCTAAAATACAGTTTCCTGAAGCCATTTTTCACTATGATTTCAAAATCAATTTAAGCTGTCAGGTCAAAGTAAAGATTGATATGATGCCTCTTTTTCAAAGACTGGAGACAGGCAGTTAGTTACATTAACAACCATGGATCAAAACATTTATTGCAAAGAGGTTTCCAAACTGAGATAAAATATGCATTAGAAATAAATTAGCAGATTACTTAGTTTCATGATTTCAGCTTAGATATACAAACTGAGAAAAAAAAAAAAAAAAAAAATCAGATAGATGCATCAAATTTATAACTCGCACATGTGTTCTTGCAGACATGCACATGCCATGGTTTCTGACATTGCATTAGAATGGCCCACAAATAGAGTACAGAAAAACATTAACAAGTTTTAGGAAAAAAAGAACTTTGTCTCTTTCTATAAGTAAAAATATTGCTGCAAAATTATACAGTAACTAAAATGATTGAATTAATTAAATCCTACAACAAAACTTTAATAGAAGGATCCCTACATATTACATTTCATAGCAGAAAATTTCCAAACCTTTCCTCTCAAAACATACTGAATTTATTTAATCAAAACTTGTAAAACACACACACACATACATTCTCTCCCAACAAAAACAACAACCACCACAAAAAAAAGGGGGGGAAGGAACCAAATTTACAAATAAAATAATAATATGACCTAGACAAATGATATGTTATTTTTACATTTAAATCAACGGCAAGCAATTACAAATCACAAAAAAGGGGGGTGGGGTGAGGCAAGGATCTGCATCTGGCTCTTCAGAATGAGATTAGATAATCTTCTCCAACTCATCACTAAATTTTTCCTTTCCAGAAATTTGTAAACACTGTTACACACTGAATAATTTCCATTCTGGGCAATCAGTATTACTGGAAATTAGTTAATAAATGAGTTCCCGATTATATTTATTTTCACTACAAGAGACTGAAACTTCCACATGTATTAAATGACTGCAATATTCACAAAAAACACTATTTGCGTTATTTATATAAAATAATAATAATAATAAACCAAATAAAATTAAACACAAGAATAATTCAAATTACACCTTCAAACACATTTTACCTATGATTATTAAATCACAGAAATGTAAAATGAATAAGATAATAATAATATGCTTTTGAAGAAAAACCACTCACATTTTACCCTAAAGTGCAATCACCCATGTTGATATGCACATTGATGCATCTGCAGGCTAAGTTTCTGTTTATATTTCTTGCCACAAACAGAGCACTGGTATGGATATTCACCAGTATGAAGCCTTGAATGAGTATTAAGATGCTGTTTTTGGCTAAATGTTTTCTTACACACTTCACAAGCATAAGGTCGTTCTCCAGTATGAATTCTTAAATGCACTTTCAAATGTCCTTTTTGAGTAAACCGTTTATTGCAAACATCACAGATGTACGGATAGTATTTCTTATGAACTAGCATATGCTCTTGAAGGTCGCAAACTCTTTCAGCAGCATAGGAACAAATAGGGCAAGAAAACTTCCAGTTAATAATCTCCTCACCTACAAAATGAAAAATATTGAGAACTCTGATGTAAAATGTAAACAGAAATAATTAAGCATCAAGGAAACTGCATTCCGTCAATACCACAGACACTATGCTTAAAAATATCATACAAAAATTAATCAAGAAGTATAAAAAAAAAAATATTTTTCTTGAATTATACAGAATCTTTTATTTAGCTGAGCTTCAATAATTTCTGATAAATTCTACTGACCAGTTACTTTAGTTTATTCAGAAAGCATAACTAAAAATAAAAAAGCACTAGGTACAATGTCTAATCAAATACAGCAAAAGATATTTAGATTAGTTTTTGTAAAAGTGGCACTGAAGTTGATTAAATTCCTCTTCTTTTTTATCCTTTATTGTTCATTTTTTTTTTAAAATTAGGGTTTTACGTGTTTGAAGTATTAATTTTTAACATTTAATTAAATTTGGTACTTTTCTGTTTCGCCAGCCCAAATCTCACCAAGCAGACTTTATTGGCGACAACATACAGTATACACATAACAAATGTTAGTTCTAATAATTTTTTATTTTGAAGGCATAAACATTTTAATACCATTTAAAATTTTGTAATTCTCTCAATTCAAGTTAAATCTTAATTTTAAATACAAGTTTAAATGCAAGAATTATTTCAATTTGTACGAACAGCTTACTCAGAAATTATTTAAAACCGCAGTGCTTTATTTAGCTAGTGTATTCTCATTAAAATTGATAAATTTAACCTTTGACTTTATTTTGAATTTAACCTTTGACTGTATTTTTGCCTTTGAGTGAGTGGTGTGATTGCATTCTAATTGGCTTAATTACTGTGAATGTACTTAGGGCATAAAATTGTACTGTCTGGTAAAAATTCCATGTTATTGTATGATAGTATTGAAAGAATCAATCAATCTTATAAGAAATGGCTGCGACTTGTTTTGAAAATGAGGCGTAAAAGGTTACCAGCGAGGATATTCTGCTTGGCATCAGTTGTACCATTATTGGCGAATTTATCGCCTGCGCCGGTATAACGGAAAAGTACCTTTTATACATTTTTCGTATTTTTTAAAATTTATTACTTATGAATTCCAATTTTTGGTCTTTGTGTAAAATTGGTTCTAAATTTCTTGCTTTACATATTTAGTAATATATATACACTGATACATGAATATTAGTTCATATTACATCACTATTTAACATAATAATAGAAAAGTAGCATACATTTGAATAAAATTAACTAAGGCTTTGAATTTGAAACTGATCAATGCTTGAACAATTAATTCCCTGTGCTATGAATAAGATTTTTTTCTCCACTTTAAATGAAATGCTGAAAATTTAAAAAAGAAGGAGGCCTAAAGAAAAGATGTTAAATTGTTTATATTAAAACTAAAGCATAAAAATGGAAATCCTACTTTTTTTAGCACAAGCTAAATATTCCTGATATACTATTAACTCAAAAATGTAACAGTTAATATTTGAAAAATGCAAATACGAGATTAAATATTTATTTTAAGAACTTAAAATATTATACAATATCAATGAGAAAAAATTCAAATTTTCAGTTATTTTTCCCACAAACATTTTTTTTATCATTTAAATAAAAATATAAATATGATAATAATAAAAAACTATATTTAGCTAAAAGGTAGCTTCAAATTTTTTATTTTACTGCTTTAAAAAATCATTTTAATATGCACTGTGCCTATCAATGCAAAATGCATGTTTTTTACTATGTACAACTTGAAACTGAAAGAGCTGCATCCTGTTTTCTTTTACAGATAAAACTGAAACATGGTATTATCTTAATAATGAAACTTTCTAATGGGTAACCAAAAAAGTTTATGTGGTTTTTGAGAACAGTTACTTTTGGCGCATTTGTATTGTCCAAATGGTTCTAATGACGTCATATGTTACTTTCTTTTCAAACCTTATTCAGTAGACAATTGTTTAGTGCATCGCACATTTCACTATTGGTTTTGTACGAAGCACAGTCTTTGAAAGAACATGTTGCTGGAAAAGGATTTTGAGGCCTATTTTGCTTTACGAGTACGTTAGGAAGCAAAGCTACAGAGGCTGCTAGAAGAATATGCTTTGTACTTGGAGACGTCAGTGAGTGAACAGCTGCTCAAAAGTGGTTCAGTCTATTTTCTTAAGATGAGAGCTTTGAAAACAAGCCTCATGTTGGTTGTCCATTCCCCCTTGACAAAGTCCAGGGGGAGGGAGAAACCAAGCAGAATCCTCATCAAACCTGCCTTGCACATGCATTTGGATAACCTGACGAAACCATTCGATCACATCTTCATAACCTTGTCTCACTGGCCACTAAACCAGATCAAATCATTCACCAAAAGAAGGTAATGCTGTGTATTTGGTGGACCAATGCTGGCACAGTCCACCATGAATATCTAGAAAGAAAAAAACCATAACAGGCGAACTGAAACGCTAATTAGAAATTTGAAATTCAGCTATGTAATCAAGCTATTTTAAAATGCAATTTATAATTGAGAACCATCCTTAGGATAGCAACACATCATGTGGGCAGGACAGGGCAGGAACAAGTACAGGGGGCACCACACCATCGCCATTGACAAAAATGGAATAGCCCCCCTGTACTACCTCTCTAACATACCGCACTTCCACAGGCGAGCTGATTACAGTAACCATAGCACTAACAACATATAGGACATAGCACAACATACTGTTACAACATCATGTGGGCAATAGAATAGGTGAAGGTAATGCACTTCTCAACCTAGAATGGGACTGTCAATTATCTAGTTGAATTATCCAAAATTGTCATTGGCCTATGTAATTCAGAAGTGGAAGGTGAGTGATGATCTTTGGATTGTACCCCTAGTCAACAGACCCACAAAAAGACTGATGCATGCAGTCTGAATAAATTCGAAAGAACCACACCCAGCGATGCATGCAGTCTGAATAAATTCAGAAGAACCACACCCAACTGATGGCTCACATACTCCAGGAATTTCAACAGGCATCTGAGAGTGTTGTTTCAATGAATACCATGCATAAGGAAGTAGATCTATTTGGATTTTATGGTCGCGCTGCCACCTATAAGCCTTTGATCACAAAGTCCAACCACACTGTTCAGTTAATGTTGTGCAAAGCACATCCACATTGGACCATAGATCAGTTGAAATAGTGGAAATGAGTTCTCTAGAGTGATGAATCAAGGTTCAATCTTTATTGTTCAGATAATTGTGTCTGGATTTGTCATCTGCCTGAGAATTCCTATCAGAATGCACTGTGCCCACAGTTAAGTTCAGCAGTGGTAGAATTATGGTCTGGGGGTGTTTCACCTGGTATGGATGGGGTACAAATTCTTAATAAGCTCAACGCCAAGATCTACTGAACTATTTTGGATAACAGTGTGCTTCCTACATTGTGGCAGTTTTATGGGTTGTACACATGTTACATTCAGGATGACAATACCAGCTGTCACGTTGCAAGGTCCACCATGGATTAATAGGGAGACAATGGGGTTAACTGAATGGACTGCCACACTAGAACGCTATCGAGAACCTCTGGGACGAGCTGGATAGCTGAATTAAGGGGTATAGCAACTGTCCAATATTGGTGAATGAACTTGCACGACTTCTCCAAGCCGAGTGGAAGGAAGTAGAGTAACTGTCATACAAGGACTTGTGGAAAGCATGCCTCGGAAGGTTGAGGGCTGTAATTGTTGCTTGAGGAGGTTCTATCAACTACTGAATATGAATAAATTTTGTTTCCCTTTTCTATTACAGATATCAAAACACTTACAGACAGATAATGTAATGTCAGAAGGAAAGTTTTAAGTACAGTTGTATATCAAAATGTTTGAGAAAGGTAGATCAAGAAGTTCTCTCCTCTCATTTTAAGATAATAGTTACTTCTATACACATAAAATAGGTTCCCCCCCCCAATTCTTTCCCAATAGAATAACATTCAAGGAAGAAAAGTATCAAAGAGTCAAATAAAATAAACTAGGCTTAATTGCCTATTAATAACTAATCAAAATTGAAATGAAATTTTTTTATCAACTGTATTAATAGTGACTGATCAAAATGGAGGTGAAAAGTTCCACATCTGATGATCAGTTCTTCAGCACAGCCTAAGTATTTTTCAAGAGCAAAATCTTTTCCTCTAACATACACAGCTAAGAAAGCTTGGATGATAAATCTTCCGCGACTCCATGAAAGGAAGTGACAAATACAAGAGTTAAAAGAAAAAGAAAATTCTTCTCATTGCTAGCTTCAAGACTCATTTCAAATTCTTTATTCCAAAACAGCAAAACTGTAAAGTTGTTTCTTCATCCCAGCTGCAATTCTTCTGTCAAGGGATAAGACAAAGTTAGAAAGTGAGATAAAGAACACGTAATGATTTGAAAACTTGCAAATCCCATTCACAAAAGCAGTATTTATTTTCTACCATCAATGCTTTGGATACAGTAAGCATAAGAGATTATGCCCAACAGGAAATAATAACCAGCAGATGTCAAGAACATGTTCCTAACAGCAAGATTAAAGCAAAAGAACAGTAAGGAAGAGCAAGAATAATAAAAGACCATTGATACTGAAGTATAAACAAATACTGTAAATTCAGAAGAGTAGATGAGTGTTGAGAATAAGCTTAATCTAAACATTTTACTCAAAGATATTTTCATCACAGATGATTCTCTGACTACATTCTGCATGTAGTCAGAGATGTTCTAATGTTGTCAATGTCAATCTAATGTTGACAGATGCTAGATTTTGCACACATGAGCTGAAGTTTCTAATAATAATGATGATGAAATATAATAGCAGATAAGATCATCAAGAGTTGCCATAGAATAAAAAGAGAAATTATTAAAATGTTTCCCTTTTTTATCACCTTGCACACAATGGTATTCGTCAAAGGTATGGATGCCCAATGGAAGACTTTTCGAACTGGTCCCATGGAACTGGCTCACATCCATTACATATTTATTTTTATTTATCACAACTGAGCAGGCTTCTGACCTAAGGTGTATACTAAACAGAATAGTGCCTGCTCAGCAGGAGATCAAGTAAACTATCTAGC